ATATATAAATAAAAGGATATAACATTCCAAAACAAACTCCTAGCATAAACTGTCACATAGCACTAAACCTTCCAACCGACCGACCTTGCATTTGAACGAGGAACTCCGTCTTGATCCTTCTGTTGGCCTCCGAGTCGTTATCATTCCTAGAGGAGCACATTGAGTCAACCTGCATTATGCACGGGGTGACAATTTATCGCCAACGTCATCATCATCATCACCACTATCACAATCGTCATCATAACTATCACAACCATCATCATCATCATAACAATCATCATCATCACTATAACAACCATCATCATCATTATCATCAAAAACAAACGTATATATTGGCTAACTTCACTAACGAAGATGGCGTTTACGATGATGATGATGATAATAATAACAATGATGATGATGATGACGACGACTATAACGATAACTATATAGTTAAACAGCAGAAACCTCATCGATGAAGATGATGCTTGGCCGATGCTGGCGAGCCAACTCAAACAGGTTTTTAACTAATCTAGAGATCAGAAACAAAATTACATTAAGCTGGATGATTGATTGATGGATTGACTGACTAATTGAATGATTGGTTGATTGATTGATTAATTGATATAGATTAGAGTGTATGTAAATATATATATATATATATATATATATATATATATATATATATATATATATATATATATATATATATATAGACATCCCCTCTCACTAACTTCTCACTCTCACCAAGCCATTTCGACATGAGATCAGATGATGATATCGAGAAGAAAGTAGAGTTGCCAGTCTCTGTGGACACTGCCTTTGCCAGGTAGGACTTTCCGGTACCTGGCGGCTGCCATCATCATCAACACCATCATCACCATCGCTATCATCATCATCATCATCGCTATCATCATTATCACCATCGCTATCATCATCATCACCATCGCTATCATCATCGTCATCGTTATCACAATCGCCATCAGCATAAGATTCATCATCGCATCATTTTAATAGCTCACTCCAAAAAGTAATATCCCTTTCCATGGCTTTCGCTTGCCTTTGAAAATAAATAGTGATGATGAATGTAACGATGAAGATGATGATGATATTGAGGATGATTATGACGATGATGAACAGACAATCCAACCAACCAACCGACCAGCAAAATTATCCAAACCAACCAACCAACCAATCAACAAAAAAAATCCAGCCAACAACCAACCAACCAGCCAACCAACAAAACAACCAACCAACCAACCAACCAACAAAACAACCAAACCAGCAAACCAGTAAAGAGATGTGGAAACTTGATTGGCAGTATGACGGCTTCCTTCAGGGCCTCCTTAGCACCTTCCAGCCCGGCTACGTCATCCCACTTAATGTTAGGCTTGTCCATAACTATGGCTCCTAATATATGGTTGTGTGTGTGTGTGTGTATGTGTGTGTAATTTATGTGCGTGTGTGTGTAATTTATGTGCGTGTGTGTGTGGTGTGTAATTTATGTGTGTGTGTGTAATTTATGTGTGCGCGGTGTGTGCGTGTGTATGTGTATGTGTGTGTGATTGCATCAGTGCTTTTGCTTTATATGTTTACACCACATGATTCATAAACTATACCAGTTGATGCACAGGTAAAAACCAACACAATCACAGGACCAATGATTACATCACATCAGGTAGTGACAACCGAACCAACCTGACAGCTTGCCCTTCATTTTTTTCTTCTCGGCGTCATTGGAGTCGCTATCACTGTCGCTGTCAGACCTGCAAAAAGATGATTTTTTTTTTTTACAAAGATCTTTTCAGTCAGCGTTCCTCACAAAAGCAAGCACAACGCATGTAAACACACACAACACACACACCACCCACACACACATGCATTAACCAACACATTTACATACAAATTGCATGTGACAGGCAGGAGATCTCTGCATTCGAACCTGGTCACTTCAACAGCAGAATCAGACCCCTTAACCATTACACCATGACACAGTCCAACTAATGGTAACAATAAATAGCAAAAATAGCCCCAAACCAACTTTTTGCCGCCATTAGCCTTGACAGGTTTCTTCTCCTTACTCCTGATGTACTCTTTCAGCTTTTCTGCCCTCTCCAAGTACTGGCCGCACTTGGTTCTTAGGTTTTCTTTGGCTTTTTCATTGTGGGCCTCATCTTGTAATCAATGTAAAGGTTAATGGTCAGAGAGGTTATTCTAGTTTATTTTTAACAATTCTGTCGTCAATATATCTCAGTGGTATCAGCAATAACACACACACACACCTGCACATACACCTGCTCACAGAAAAACAAAAAGTAACTCAAATATTTATACCCAAGAAAAAAAATATAACCAAACATTTAATGGCATGTAGGAAATATTCCACCCCATGTTCATATAGCTTCAGGGCTTCTTCATAATTTTTTACCTTATCTTCTTCTGTTGCTTTTGTCACAAACTCTATACCTTTCTAGAAAATAGAGTGAAAATAAATTAAAAAAAAAAGAAAAAAATTAATATGAATTATTCTAAAGATTTATTTAGTTTTTGAGTGTGGAGTGAATAAAATAAATTTCAACAACTTTTGCTGAGTTTCCTCTTTTTTAAATTTATAAAAAAAAGTGTTTTTCCTAATCTGTTAGTATTTAGCTATTAGTTAGTATTAAGTTAGGACTGTAAGTTGTAAGATATAATTTTGTTCACTAATATTGTAATCAGTAATGATTTCTTAATGATGGCAGTTGAATGAAATGAAATATGTAATAATAATAAATCAGATCTAGAATTTTAAAAAATTAAAAAATAATATGTCAATTTTATTAGCATACACAAGATCACAAAAATGACTAAAATAAAATTTTTAAATTTTAAAATAAAATAAATAAAATATGAAATAAATTAATAAAATAAATGAATGTTGAATGTGAATCTGAGTAATTAATAAAATGGTTTTTAAAGAAAATTTATGGAACCTGTAGAGCGGTCGACATTTTTGAGGATGATTTAAATTAATTTAATTCTTCGATAGCCGGAATTAGTCCCTAACTGGCCGACGATTCAAAAATAGGATGTCTGCTTTTTAGTATTTTAATGTGAAAATTCCAAATAAAAAAAACTTGATAAAATGGGCTCGTTAATAGTGATGTGCGAATAAAATAATTATTCAATATTTTCACTTTTAAACACTTTAAACACCATGCAAACCATATAATTAGAATAAATATAACGGCCTTCGCTCATTTTTGATGGTCGAACAAGGAGCTTACTTCCGGAGGAAAATTGGAGGGTGATTTTTTATCGCCCAAGTCAAAAGTTACGATCGTATATTTACTAATTTCGGAATATTGCTTTTATTTAAAATTTCAAAATGTTTTAAAAGGTGATACGGCATAAGTTTACATTCCGAACTACAACTAGATGCTGTTTTAGGATAGATATTGCTGTATGACGGTTAAGTATCTTTTTGCATTTTAAATAAAAAAAATTTTTTGTGAACCACCAACATCGCTTAATGACTTAACTCATTAACTGTAACAACACTAAACGACGACTAATTAGTAATTAAATTACTAAATTCTAATAATTAAACTAAAACTAATCTCTAATGATTCTAATTACTAATTGAAATAAATAACAGATAACACCAATGAACATTAACAGATTAGACTACTAGAAACTACCAACCACTACACTACTACATACTACTACTACACTAACGACTAACAGCACTTGTTCCTAAGATCCTAAATTCTATTGCTTGATTGGTTTTAAAATTTTTATTTACAATGCTTAGGTCTGGGAATAAAAAATATACTAAATTAAATAAATATATTAAACAACTTACCAATCAATTTTATAAACAATTAAATAAACAATTTTGTAATTTGTTCAATTCAAGCTTCAAACTCCCCAAGCTAACTTGCAATTTAATTGAAATTTATTAATTATGAGTGATTCAAACTAAATTTTTTTTTCATTCAATGTTTTACAAAATATTCCTCATTCTTAAATTGTAGTACATGTTGTTATTAAATTTATTAAAGATAATGTGTGATTCCAGTGATTCATCAATCCATGACTTGTTAGATCATGATCATTCAGTTTTAAAGAATCCCTATCATCATAACCAACGAGGTTTGTAAAAATTGTACTTTTAATTTATTATATTTTATGCACTTAGAATGTTGTGTTATTAATTATTATCATTAATTATTAAATGCTGTGCATACCTATGGTAAGTAAATAAAATAATTAAGCATAGAAATAGCCACAATCAAATTAATTTATATAGGCACGAGTATAATTTGGATAATAATAATTAAAAATATCGATATCATTGAAAATGGATAAAGTCAAAAATAAAAAAATAAATCATAAATTGCTAAAAATAATAGTTTCAGTAAGATTTTGCCTACATCTACACCTACATCTTTTTTTCATTCTTATATTATAATAAATGTTTGTTATCAAATATATCAAGGATTGATTTCTCAATCCATGACTAGATTGAATGTCATGATCCTACAGTTCCAGAGGATCCCCATCACCATTAGTCAATAAGGTTTGTAGAATTTGTAAGGTTTGTTTCCAACACCCCAGGCATACCATCAATGTTTTGTATCCACCTTTTAATGTAGTGTTAATAAAATGACATTGAGAATAGTTATTTAAAACAATCTTATTAAAATTATTGAACAGGTATGACAAGATTACTTTCTTAATGTCCTAGTGTGAGGAAGATGTAAGCCATTTGTCCAAAGATAATCATATGCCTTATGCCCATACAAATGCAGTGTCAACGCGAATGATTTTTGATCAGAGTCATATGTTCTAATTTTTTTAAACTTTTCCAAAAATTTTTCTGTTAATTTATTTGTTACATTAAATACTTGATGTGTATTTCATATAAAAACTTGATTATGCCAATTTAGTTAACTTGTTAAGCATTAATATAACATTGACTCTACTTGTAATGGTGATTGGTATGATGATGATGATCCCAGTCCTAAGCAGGGTTTATTATTCATAATGTCGTTATGCCCTTTCTAAGTTTTAATAAAATACATGAATAATATTGTTGAATGCATTTTATATTTTTTGTATAGATAAGAATGTTGCAATGTACAATGATGATGTGAATTGCTTCCTTGTGTAACTGATGACATATAAATATAACTAACTTGAAAACATGGGAATGCTTTCTTCAGCATTACCTTCCTTTCTTCATCATAACCCTTACAATCTTTATTACAGAAATTATTTTGAATTCTCTCAGAAAATTTTAAACGTTTTACTACACTATATATACTAGTTATTTTTATCAATAATTATAAAAATTTCAAATTTCAAATTGATTTCATTGCGATATCGATAATGATTTTTGTGACCTGACTGATTAAAAAGCATCAAAGAAAGTTAAAATAGGATGGAGAATTTGTTATATTGGGATATTCGTTTAAAAAGCGAGCAAAATTTTAATATAAAAGCGCTTATAAATCTACACATATTGGCTCAGCTTGGCTTGGTTCGGCTTGGAATCGGATGTTAAGCAAGGTGTGGTCTCAAACTATTTTGAATTCTCCCCGAAAAATTTGAACTGCGTGCGCACATATATAGCAATGATTACTGTCGTTTTTATAATGAATTTATAAAATATATAAATATAACGAGCAAAATTTTAACATAAAGACGCTTAAAAATCTATGCATATTGGCTCAGCTTGGCTTAGTTCGGCTTGGAATCGGATGTTAAGCAAGGTGTGGTCACAAACTATTTTGAATTCTCCCCGAAAAATTTGAACTGCGTGCGCACATATATAGCAATGATTACAGTTGTTTTTATAATGAATTTATAAAATATATAAATATAACGAGCAAAATTTTAACATAAAGGCGCTTAAAAATGTATGCATATTGGCTCAGCTTGGCTTAGTTCGGCTTGGAATCGGATGTTAAGCAAGGTGTGGTCACAAACTATTTTGAATTCTCCCCGAAAAAATTGAACTGCTTGCGTACATATATAGCAATGATTACTGTTGCTTTTATAATAAATTTATATTATAACCCTATATATATATATATATATATATATATATATATATATATACATATATACATATATATATAAAGTGACTGGAATCCATGTATACAAATAATTAATAAGATTACATGTTTATATGAAAAGCAATATAGCAGATTCAACCAGCCAATCAGAAAGTTTCGAAGGCGTTCGCTCGATGACGTCAATTTAGTACAGTAAGCATTGTGGTTAAGACTGTATAATAATGTAGTACATACATTAAATAAGTTTTTTACTGATACGAATGATTTAAGTGATGAGAATGTAAGGTTGAAACGAGTATAAATAGAGGAGCTGAGACAACATGAAAATCAGATCAGGCATTCTGCCTCGGTTGAAGCAGTCTGTCTGATCTCATTTATTTTATTTTTTTAATTTTTTTATTTTTATTTATTTTATTATATAGAGTTATATAGAGTTTGCATGTTTGTAGGTGGTTTGAATGATTGTAGGTGGTATTTTTTTTATTTTAGATGGGTTCTTTAGCGGTTGCTCATACATACATACATACATACATCATGTTTGTTTGTGTGGTAGTATTTTATGTTCTGTTTTACTCCTTTTTCTCTTTCTTCATGAGTCTTGAGTTAAGTTAATGAAACATAGGTAGGTGAGATTGAGAATTAATTTATTATATAGGTAGGCTAGGGCATAAGGTAATTTAGTTACATAGGTAGGTTAGGGACTTTTTTTCTTTTACTCTTACTTGGTGGTGTGTTTTTCGTTTTGTGTGTTTTTTTTGTTTTGTTTCACACCATACATTCAGCAGGTACGCGGTGGTTCCTGGTTTCAGTGGAATTTTTATTGATTGAATGTGGTAGTATGCATGGTTATATAGAGTTATATAGAGTTATATAGAGTTATATAGAGTTATATAGAGTTATATAGAGTTATATAGAGTTATATAGAGTTATATAGAGTTATATAGAGTTATATAGAGTTATATAGAGTTATATAGAGTTATATAGAGTTATATAGAGTTATATAGAGTTATATAGAGTTATATAGAGTTATATAGAGTTATATAGAGTTATATAGAGTTATATAGAGTTATATAGAGTTATATAGAGCATAAATCCTATATAGATACCGTTCTTTGCGGTTCTTTTCTTTGCCGACCGGTCGGCTTCTTTGCGTTTCTCTATTTTCATTTAAATTAATTAAATAAATAAGATTTGTCCATTCATCTAAGTTCATTCAGGTTCATTCATTCAGGTTATAGCTTCCAGAGTAGTTCGTTGTGGAGGATCAGAATGGTTGTGCTGTCACCCTACGTTCAACCTTAACCCTAACTTCCGACTTTACGGTTTCTTAACGGTTTCTTTTTTTTTTGCCAGTTTGCTGGCTTTTCCGGCTGGTGGGTTTCACCGCGGCTCGTTTCTCTATTTTCATTTAAATTAATTAATTAAATAGGATTTTTCATTTCATTCAGGTTGAAGCTTCCAGAGGAGTTCATCATGGAAGATGACAGGCTACTTTCGTTCATTCAGTGGCAAAGAATACCCGCCTGACTGGGATACGTTTTCTTCTTTTTTCTGTAATTTAACATTAAGTAGGAATGCTCACACGCACACACACGCACACACAATTACATTAAGTAGCTATATAGGTAGGTTAGATAGGCCTAATTTTAATTGTAGGTAGGATAGATAGGAAGCATCCAACACTAAATAGTTGAATAGGTAGGCAGCGTAAGTTTATCTCTTCTATTTTATCTTGCACCCACATTACACGCATCAGCGTATTACACACACACACACACAAATACATACATAAACACATATGTTAGTATTTGAGCGTAATTTTATTTTCATTACACATTCTAATTTATTATTACTAAGGTTGAGAGTAATTTAATTTCATAGGTAGCTAAGGGCAATAATGTAGTTCTAGGAACAATCTTGTAATGCAAATTAAAGAAACGCTGTAAGTGTATCGATAGGTAGGTTAATTGTAAGTTTTCCATTATTGTTATTATTAGGTTGGAGCCCAAGGCATTACGTAGGTGGTGGGGTGGGTGCCGAAAGGCCAATGAATTGGGCTCTTGAGTTTTGTAATTTTAGGTAAGCTAAGGCAGTAATGTAATGAATAGGTAAGTTAAGGCTACGTTGTAACACATACTCATTAATTGATTTAGGGTTTAAGTTTTATATTATTATTACTAAGTTGGAGCCCAAGGCATTACGTAGGTGGTGGGGTGGGTGCCGAAAGGCCAATGAATTGGGCTCTTGAGTTTTGTAATTATAGGTAAGCTAGAGCTTAATTGTAATGAATAGGTAAGTTGAGGGTACGATAGCCGATAGACTCTGAATTTCGAAGTCTGTTGTCAGAGGTAAGCCTTGGTGGCCAGTGGTGAACCGGCAATGGTTTACTATCCGGACGGCAATGGTTTACTATCTGCACGGTAATGATTTACTATGCGGCATGGCCATAGTCTACTACCCGCACGGCTTCCGGACGGCAAATGGTTTACTATCCGCAAGGCAGTAGTCTACTATCCGCACGGCAATGGTTTACTATCCGGTGCCCTGGCTGTCGGTGAACCTCTGTGCAAGGATGGAGAATGAAGGGGAACTTTCGACTATCGTACCATTAACAATTTATTATAGATTAGTTAAGGTAATTGAATAGGTAGATAGGATTATTTTTATTAAGCAATTTAAGATGCAGGCACCGCTAAGCTTTCTGATGAGAATTTTCTCTTTCTCCATTCCACGGGCTGTGTTTCAACAACAATCTCGAGGAGGACTGGCACCAGTTTTGGAGGATAACGCAGGAAACGGAAGGCACTCATCATTCTGCCTTTGTCGAATGGACGACGGTAAGTTTTTTTTACATTTTACTCTCTTTATTATTTTCAGATATTATTTATTTCCCATTATTTCCATTTTATAATTTTTGCTTCTAAGATTCTAACATTCATTTACTACTAAGCTAATAAAAATAACTTGTCTACAGACTGATGAGAGGTGGGCAGTGGTGGGAGTCAGCACGTTTCAGATGGTGGTCTCATGATTATCGTTCCGATGACAACTCGAAGAAAACAACAACGACGATTTTTGAAGTATGGTTTAGTTTCGTTGTTTTTATTTTTTTCATTCATTCATTTTTCACACAATCTTTCAAATTATTCATCCATTAATTGACTCATTCCATTCATTCATTGAATCATAGATTGGTTAATTAATTCATTCATTCACTCAATCATTCGCTCAATCATTTATTCGTTTGTTCTTTCGTTTTAACATTCATTTACTACTAAGCCAATAAAAAAATTTGTCTACAGAATGATCAGAGGTGGGTTGTGGTGGGAGTCAGCACGTTTCATGATGGTAATCTCATGGTAAGATAAGTTGCTTCTTACTTTTTTTCAATGGCTTGTTTTTTATTTTAAAAAATTAACTTTTTCTTTCAATTTTGTTTTTCAGTATCCGGTCAAATTCATTTCCTCGGTGCGTGTCAGATGATGGTCGGTGCAATGGAGGTTCGTCCGTAGTGGGTGAAGAAGTTCTGGAGGGTACGCGCGCGCACATTTACATACACGCACACACATAAATACAACACACACGTACACAACATCCATTCATTCGGTGTCGTTGTTGTTATGTTTCTCTTCAACTTTCTAGTTTCTTTACCGGACTTAATTTAATTCATAGGTAAGTTAGGGATTGAGATGAGTTGAACAACTGTAGGTAGGCTAGGGCTTAACATTAGTTAAAAAGTTTCAAGTAAAATATTAACATTAACATAAATTAAAAAGCTTCAAGTAAAATTAAAACGTTAAAATATGTAAAATAAATGAGTTGAGTTATCATTACAGGTAAGCTAAGGCCCTGAGAGTAATTTAATTGTAGGTAGGTGACTGACTACTATTCTTGCGACTTTTTAATATTTTTTTTGTGGTGTTTTTGTTTTCGCTTCTTAGCACCACACAACACCAACAAAACAAACTACAATTTTTTTTGTCGTCGCCTTAAATTTAACCATTTTTGAATAATCTTTTTAATAATGTCTATTTATTTATTTGTAAAATGTTGACTGGTTTCTAGTTTCTTATTTTGGTTATATAATTTTTGGATATTTCCTGAATTACTTTGTATATATGCATGCATGAATAATTTCTGTTTGTTATGTTGATTTAGTCCTTACTAAATATTCATGTTTCGTGATAATTATTTTTTATTGATCGATAATTTGTGATAATTTGTTATTTGTTTGTTTATAATCTGAACTTTTTAAAAAATTGACATTTAAAAAATTTTAATTTTTCGTCACTTCTCATCTTTTGATGATGTCAAATAAAAGCAACTGTTGTGTTTTTCTTTTCTTACTAAAATCTCAAATAAAAACATGTACACATAAAGAGACACAGACACACATACATACAAACATACATACATACATACATACACGCATACATACATACTACCATCATACGCAGTACAATAAACATTCATGTCATTTCTGTCAATGTATTTTAAGTATGTCAAACTGTTATTCTTGTTAACTATGATGACGATCATCATCATCATCAAAACCATCATCAACGAACAACAATAACAACAATATAATAATAATTACAGCAACAACAACAACGAAATAAAAATAGTTGTTCTCATTACGCATTTCAAAAGCTTGCATTCTTCTTTTAATACAAGCGTTATATATATATATATATATATATATATATATATATATATATATATATATATATATTCTATATATATAATGTGTGTGTGTGTGAGTTTGTTTGTGTGTGTGTGTGCGTGTATGTGTATTGTATATTTTTATCTATA